TTCCTTTTAAAAATAACGTGAAACAGTTGTTTTACATAATCTGAGACAAACAGATGTATATTTTGCTACAAGGAGTTCCATGGAGTCCGATCAAGAACTGAGCCGTTTGACGTGTATTTCGAACTTTTTAGTTGATTTCCAGTTTTGGGTCAAAATCTCGGTAATATTTCAACGTGCAAATTCGACAAAAATTGAAGTGGTCGGATAGGATAGAAATACACATCAGTCGACCCGACTCCAAGTAAACTCCCTATAGCAAAATATACATCTGTTTGTCTCAGATTATGTAAAACAACTGTTTCACGTTATTTTTAAAAGGAAAAATTTTGATGAAGATCCTCAAGAGCCTTCCCAACAGCAATAGCATGTGTATTGCGCTAAAAATATCGAGTAACAAGATCGAGTTACAACAGAATGAAGAATAATACCGATAGTGCATTCATTCGACTTACAGGCAATGGACTTAGTGAATCGATGCATCTTGTAGCTTTTCTTATTTTCTTTCTAAAACAAGTTGAACATGATGAATTCAAGAAAAAGGAAATACATATGGCTTAGTACGATTGAATTTAAGTCAAAATTGTCTAAGGAATAACTTTTTTCTGTTTTTAAACATTAACTCTCAGCTCTCCGTTCCAATGGGTACTGAAATCGGGTTCCCCCATTGTGCCTAAAGGTACCGAGACAATAAGTATTAGATAGGTTGCCCAAGACTATCATGTGACCGCCGTTGTCGGATTCGAACTCCGTATCTTTGTAGTACATTGTCTGCCCACTAGCTGACTGAGCCGCGCCGCTCCACGGGGATAACTTTGTTTTTGAAAAATCATGGATGCATTGAGGTTTCTAAACCTTACATCTTTTCGTATTGGATTCCCAATATATATTCCATAGAAGCATTTGTTAAGATAGAATGTGTAAAACTATTTGTGTGTGCCAGAGAAGAAACGTTTTTCACAGCCATTAGTTTGATGTTTTTATGCCATGAGTACCTGAAACCGAAGGACGAAGAAAATTTGTAAAAAGACTGAGTGTGCATACACTGTGAGCATAATATTATTCCTCAGCGTGAAATCAAAGAACAGAATGAGAAAGAAGAAAGTCTTCATTTTTATGTTCTACTGGTATCTTGGGTAAATTTTTTTTTCTTATGCAAGACAAAACTAAGAAGAACATGATCAATTTCTATTAGCATAAACAGCCACATTCGAGCAAAGTAGAAAGTGGTCTGATACTTTTAAAATAAAAATTTTTATTACATCGGAGAATAAGTCGTGAATACATCGATTACAGATGGTCCACATCATAACTGAGAAAACAATGAGGTTTTCAATCAAGAATTTTGCTCAGATACCAGTTGAAGCATGTCGCAGAACATCATCAGTACCAGTTTTCTTTCAAGATGAAATAGGTTTTCCATAAAACCTACTATGTAGGTTTGGTAGAGATATGAGCAACAAAAAGTTGTCAATATGAGACTTGTCGGAAGTGAGTCGAAATTTAAAATGTTGGTTTCTCAGCAACCAGGAAACATTTCTGAAACGGTAAACGCTGTTGTTTTACTCGGAAATTTTTGTTTTTTTATGACTGGTTTGAACGAGTTTTGTGACATACATTTGAGCACTATCTGTCGTCATCTATGTGAAAGTCTGTTAAGTATACAGTAAAAATCATGACTGTTGAAGTGTCATGTACTGCACAATTGAAGTCAAATAAGCATTTTTGTTGTTTCTGTCGTAAGATTTTCAGACCTGAAGTAGCTTTTATTTTCTAACACAGCACCTTATGCTTACTTTCATTACAATACAAACGAAAGAGAACGAAAAGGAGCTTCTGTAACAAAAAATTATATAAGCACATGCGCACGAAAAGTGCCATAAGATATAAAATTGTGCTAAAGAGATACTGGATTTTCCACAAGAATTAGCAAGACCTTTTTAATTAACTTCTTTGCTTTGGTTTAATTTCATTTTGTGATCGACATAGTAATTTTATTCTAAAATAACTGTCAGTGGATTTATCACTCTAAAACATTTTAGAAAAGGTAATATACTAATAATTTTTTAACATTAACTTTCAAACACGAGACTATGATAGAGATTTCATTGGGTGTAAAGAATGATTGTATCTATCCAATTGTTTGCCCTACTCATCAATAACACCCAAACATCCTTCATATAACTGTTGTACAGCGTATTATGATCAATTTTTCCTTTTCGATAGAGATATCATGGAACAAACATTGAATGAAATCGATGACAAATTTCAATCTGGAAAATATACAGAAGCAATTACTGACATGCAAGAATTCATCGACAAGATGCAAACGGAAGAATCTGCGAAACCTCTACTTTATAAAGCATTCGATCATCTTGGAAGGTATTTGAACTTTATGGGAAAACACGTTGAGGCAGTTCAGGCTTGGGAGGATGGTTTGAAAGTTCTGGAAGACAGTGGATTGGATAGTGATAAATTGATCAATTGGATTCATACTGCAATTCAAGCAGCTCGGATCACTCATCGACAAGGTAAAAACCAAGAGATCTTCGTTACATAAATCTTTCAAAATCTTTTTAATTGAAGGCATGGACGGATCAGGAGTAACGTATAAGGGCCAAAGTGTAACGTATACTTCTTCAAAGTTGACTACAGAGGAAGAAAACGAATGGAAGAGAGAAAGGTTGGAAAAGTCTATAATGCATTTTAAAGGAGCTCTGGATAAGTTTCCTTCACATCAAATGGAAGTAACGATGAAAATTCAAATGGAATTGGCGAGTACTTTGTTCGATTCGAAACGTTACGATGAAGCACTCGAGATCTATGAAGATGCCTTCTACGTAAGCAATTGATCATTGTCTGCGTAAGCTTTCTTGCTCTTCTACTGTCGGTCAGAACGACGCAGAATACCGTCACCTACTCAGTAGATACCACCATGGATGCTTTGACACGAATAGATATTGATTTTTTAAAGAGATTATAGCCTTTTAAGAATATTGATTTGAGGTTCGAAAAACGTTTGCAAATACGTCGAAATAAGACTAACTTCACGAGCTTGTAAAAATAATATATGACTAGTGAAGTACCTATCCTTGTCTTGTACAAGACAATTTTTGAGTGACCAATGATTATTATTAAGTCTTAAGTAAGTGGTTTTCAATTTAATAACACCAAGAAGTCAAGATCTTGGATTCTTGAATTTTTCTCAAGACCTTAAAACATCCTGGCTTACTTCACTCAAGATCTTGGGCGGAGTAAGCCACGATGTTTCGAGATCTTGGGTTCTTGAATCTTTCACTCAAGATCTTGGGTTAAGAAATTTCAAGATCTTGAGTGAAGCCACTCAAGATGTTGCAAGAGCAAGAATGACAAATTTTCTTTACATTTTGTTTTTATTTATGACAGTCGTAGCCACTGGATATACGACCATATAGAATCATAGATTCTTCCTTAAATAACTAAGATTATGAAGGAAAACATATCGAACTATTCTAAGCGTGAAAATATTTGGACTTATATTTACACTAGAATGCAAAATAAAACGATGATTCAAGACTTTCCAAGGTCTTGGTACAATAAGTCAAGAAATTACAAGATGTTCAAGATCTTGACTTCTTGAAATTTCTTGAATTCTTATATTTTCTTACCAAGATCTTGAATCAAGATCTTACTAAAAAAATTCAAGAAGTCAAGATCTTGATTGCAAGACATTTCACTGTGGTACGTCTTATTTGCATAAAACTACTGCACCTATTGGCTCTATGTAACGCAAGTACATCCTAAATAGAGAAAAGGAGGAAAGAAATACGTCGATGTCTTTTCTGCATGAAATCTATATTTCGTTAATACTTTTATATTTTATTGTATAGCTTAAATAGAGTTTTAGGTCATATAGGTTTATGTGACCGGTGTACCCAGTGAAAAAAAATGAGCGTGATTCCGCCAGTTCCTGCGGGAAAATATTTTTTCGTCGGGAGTTTCAATTTTTCCGCAGGAAATTTTCAGTTTTCGGCGGGGAAAC